AATCAAATGGTTCAAATTCTTGTGTTATTTTTCTGCGTTTAGCGCTTGAACTAGATAAATGATTGTCAAATGATTTTAAATTAATTCGAGGAGTGGTATTCTCATTAATTTTACTTATTTCTTCGTTAAACTGTTTTACCTCCATTTTCATTCGATCATACAGCGGTTTTACAACAGTCACCCATTTATGGTATCTCGAGGTTCTAGGTTTTCCATCTGGTTTTAAATGGACTCCACTAGTTTTCAAAATATTGTAATAAGATTCTATATCTGCTATAGTTGTATTTTTTGGTTCCTTCTCACATAATAAAGACCATAATCCTGGTGTAAATTGGTAGTATTTATTAAGCAACAGTAATTTGCCGTGACTAAAAGTTACAGAATATTTTCCTATTTTATATGAATCACTATCTTTATCATAAATGCATACCATAAGATTTATCATAACGTGTTGATTTAGGACGATTATTTAAAAAATTTTCATATGATGAATTTAATTCATCATCATTATCTTCTTCACTAATGCACGAGGTTTCTGATTTATTTTCTAGTTCAGTTGACCGTGTGTTACATATTACATTTTGTTTCACATGTGTACTCAATGTTCAATTATCGCTTAAATGCTTCACGGAAATAGTTTTCAGAATCTATAACACCACGTTTCATTTCCATTATTTTTCGTTGTATATTTTTTTTTGATGTTATTAAATTTTCCAACAAGACTTTTTCTTTGTTCATTGTTAATAATAAATGTAATATACCTGTATCGTATGACTACTGATAACACTATGCGGATAATAACTGTGTGATGGTATATTTATATATAGGTATAAGCACATAAAATTATTTTATTTTAATGAATGTATGAAAACCACATCTATACCTTCCTTCATTCATTTCTCGATAACCATAAACCCATAATCGCTATGATTCCAACATAAATGAGAAATTTTCCGAAATTCTGAGAAATCCATATCTGCAGGCGAATGATCGTTGAATATATGTCGTAAATTTGTATCATCTTGTTTCAGTATTATTAAAAAGTTTGCGTTATCTCTTACAAGCTGTATTGATATTTTAGAATATGTCTGTGCTAAATAAAATAGGGAGCTAGCACCTGAATGTCTACCAATGCTAAAGTATTCTCTGATTACAGATTGTGGGCCGCATATCACATCATCAACAATTATAATAGAATTTTTCTTGGTTAAGTTTAGTTTAATAGCCTTATCAGCGCTTGTAAATAAGAAAAAATTAGCACCTTGTATACCATCTATTATTTTTTTCAGTAAAACATATTTTTCCTGATTAGAGGTTTTCGAGTATAAATAAATATTTTCAAATCTTAACCCGTTTGCATGTGTGATCAGATTATACATTATATTTGTTTTTCCTGAACCACTGGGACCAACTAGTATAGCACGTATAGTATCGGGTAATAACGAACCGTGTCTTGATGGTTTTCTTACTACCTGAACATCTACATTTATAACATCCAATTTATCTTTCTGTTCTATCAAATCCATATTATTTTCTTATAAATACTCTAGAATTCTCTAATTTATAATCAGTTATCGATGACGCGTTCAACTCGCATGTGTAAGTCAGTCAAGACTGGTAAAGGATTTGTAAACTCCCTTATAAATAGTCTCCCGTTCGAAGCCCATGTTTCAGGATATCAGTATTGTGGTCCTGGCACGAAATTAAAAAAGAGACTAGATCGTGGCGATAAAGGAATAAACCCATTGGATGCTGCTTGTCGTGATCACGATATTGTGTATGCAACGAGCAAAAATTTAGACGATAGACATAAAGCTGATCAAGTGTTAGAAAATCGTGCTTGGGAAAGATTTAAAGCAAAAGATACACCTAGAAAAGAGAAATTAGTCGCGTACGCAGTAACAAACGCGATGAAAGCTAAAAGAAAAATAGGTATGGGTTGTAAACGGAAACGTGCTATAAAAACAAATGGTAAACTAGCAGCGAAGAAAAAAAGAATCTCAAAGAAAAAGAATGGTGGTAAAAGGCTGATTTTAGCACCGAGGCAGTCAGGAGGTGTAATTCCCTTAATACCTATATTTGCAGGATTGTCAGCACTTGGTAGTTTGATGTCTGGAGGTGCTAGTGTGTATAATGCTGTTCAAAATTCAAAAAGAAAAAAAGGTAGTGGTTTGAAATCAAACAAGAATAGGTTAAAAAAAAACTGATGATTACGCTACCTGACAGACCGCTTTCGTCTCAAGATATTATAAAATATGCCGGAAAGTTGAAAATCAATCATTTCCGTGGAGTCTTTTCACGTGATAACTTACCTAAAAAACCGCACGCTATTGAATGTGGTATATTAAACTTGGATATATCTTCAGGTGATGGAAGCCATTGGGTAGCGTTTTATAAAAATAAGGACAAAGTTGTATATTTTGATAGCTTTGGTGATTTACCTCCACCAATTGAATTACAACATTATTTCAGTCAGTTCAAAATAGTATATAACTATTCCAACTATCAAGACTTCAATACATTTAACTGCGGTCATTTATGTCTTGAATTTTTACAATGCATGAATCTATTACATTAAGTTTGACTGGAAATTCGACTGTATTATCTGTAAATTATTTTCCGCCTATAAACCTTTACGATGACTCAGAAATAGCTTTGTTATGTTTACAGTCATTTAATTCATTCCCAAATATTAATGAAAATAATAATAAATTTTCTATACAAGTAGTTGATAATGAAAACAATAATGATCCTATGATATGTTTTATTACATTGGAAGAAGGTTGTTATGAAATTGAAGATATTAAGGATCGAGTTAAGAAGCAAATAGTTGCCTATAATAGTAAAAACTTAACCAATTTAACATTCGACATTACGGTTGATCCTGATGATTTCAGATCGTATATAAAATGTAATGGAATACTACACTTTGAATATCCATATAGTATAGCACCTGTATTCGGTTTTGAAAAACGAGTATATAATCCATACAACATTCTTCGATCGGAAAAAGCTGTAAATTTAAACACAATTAATTCTATAAAAGTAATGTGTAATATAGCTCAAGGATCATTCAGCAACCATCTTCAGAGTCATTCGATTTATGAGTTTTCCCCGAGTGGAAAGACAGGGTCGAAAGTAATTCAGGCACCGCCAAATTTAATATATTACAAATTGAATAAAACAAATATTGATTCGATAACCGTTCAGTTAGTTGATCAAGATCATAATCCGATTGATAATTTTGGTGAAGCATTGACAATCGTGTTACATATTAAACGTTACGGCTCTTGAGATGGGATTAAAATTCAATATAAACCCACTACTTCAGATCAGTACAACTAGTCATAAGACTAAAGTGCTAGCAGTAACATCAAATAAAATAAAAAAATTGACGGTGAAGAATAAAAAAATTTTACAAGCTCTGGGTTATCAATTAAAGTAGAATGCCTGAAAGTGATATTTTGGATATAACTTCACAGTACGAGACGGATTCTAAAATTACGAAAATTGAATATCATTCATACGCACCGTATACAACATCATTTAATAATAATGATGAAATACGTATATCAATCCAGCAAACGGATGTTTATCCATATCTACACGAAAGCTTTATTTTTCTAGGAGGAACAATTACTGATGCTACCAAAGTGAAACTATCTAATAACGGTTACTCTTACCTATTCGAACAAATACGATTGGAAATCAATGGGATAGAAGTAGATAGCACACGTGTTCTTGGAATCACCAGCTCGTTGAAAGGTTACTTATCCGGTACGCCAGATAACTACAATTGTTATGAAAATGCTGGTTGGAATTTTAAAAACGCAACGCAATCGGAAAATGAAAAAGGTGAATTTAGTGCTTGCATACCATTGAAATATTGGTTAGGATTGTTTGAGGACTATAAAAGAATATTAGTGAATTCTAGATTGGAATTAATATTAACCCGAAGTCATAGTGATTTAAATGCTTTACAAGTTAAAAGTGGTGCGACTGTCACTGAAGGTAAAGTCACCTTAAATAAAATAGTCTGGAAGGTCCCACATATAACGGTTGACGACGAGGAAAGGTTAAAATTATTGAAACTTATAGAAAAAGAAAAAAGTCTATTTATCCCTTTTAGATCTTTTGAAACTTTTGAATATCCTGAACTCGGAACCACTAAAAAAGTTGTATGGAATTTGAAAACTGCTTCAAAATTAGAAAAACCACGATTTATCATAATTGGATTACAAAAAGGACGTAAGAATTTGCTAACAAAAGATTGTAGTATATTTGACCATTGTTATTTAACAAACGTTAAAGTATTTCTGAACTCTATAGCTTATCCATACGATAATTTGAATTTAGATTTTACTAAAAATAATTTCACCTTATTATATAATATGTATACATCGTTTCAAGAATCGTACTATGAAAAAAGTATTCGTAATCCGATATTGAGTCCTTCTACTTTTCTGACAAACGCTCCAATTATAGTTATCGATACTTCGAAACAGAACGATTCAGCCACAGCCTCAGCAGTGGATGTTCAATTGGAAATTGAAGCTTCAGATTCGCTTACAGGTGTAACTGCTTATTGTTTATTAATTCATGATCGAATTGTAGAATATATACCTTTTACTAGAGAAGTAAGATATCTTGTATAAATATTTGTTTAGAATTAATATATAATTGTATTTGTAAATAAAATAATATTTAATAAATAATATATATTTTATCAAATTGTTGTGTTACATTGTGAAGCATGTAGAAATCTCCCTGTAAAAAGGTGCTCAGAACATACATTAGGGTTTTTGAGATTATGTGTTACACGGTGGAGCATGTAGAAATGCCCCCCTTGAAATGATGAAATCTCCCTGTAAAAAAAGGTGCTCAGAACATACATTAGGGTTTTTGAGATTAAGTGTTACACGGTGGAGCATGTAGAAATGCCCCCCTTGAAATGATGAAATCTCCCTGTAAAAAAGGTGCTCAGAACATACAAATATATACTACTCATCACAAAATGCTCTAGTTATTCCACCTAAAAGAGCCATAGAGTAATCACAGACTGTTTCTTGTGGTGCTTTTACTCCATCTATAAGCCACATACTCAACCATGAAAAAATTGTAAATGTGTCCTGTTTTTCACTGATCATTTGTGTGATTGACACTTGAAATTTGTCAGAGGAGATAACAGCTTCATACAGAAAAATATGGCTGCTTAGTAAACCTTCTTTTGTTCTTTTTATTTTCTTTACAATACTGCCTGTCGCATCGATTGCCATGCGAACGTAAGATTTTCGATGGTTTTTATATACTACCAATTGAGATGGTGTCCAATAAGGTGTTATAAATGGATCTGCACAAATTAAATGGATTGAGCCAGCATATTTTGAATGTTTAAGTTCAATCAACGACATTATTGGACACTTTTCTGTTATACCCAATCTCATATCTTTTTCGCCTTGTTTACATTTTCTTAATACATCTTTATTATACAAATTGGCTGGAATTTTTTCACCAAACTTTAATGTATTAGTGGCATTTCTTCTCCAGTTGCTCGCACAGTCATGTTATAGCTCTTTTCCTATATCATGACGCTTCTCACCATTCAACGGTCTTTTAGATGTATGCGTAAGTGTAATGTCCATATTTTCTATAACTATGCTAACATTTAATGGCATAGCTTCGTCTGGGTTGTTATCTGCCCATCCAATCAATTTAGCACCACATTCTTTACACAATCCGGAGAAATGAAGGAAATGCTTAGATTTACTAAAATCCGTGGCCACTCGACAACGTTTATAGATGAAATTGCAATTAACTTTGGAAGTCTTAATTAAATAGTCATTGATCGTATTCGTCCAAATGCCTTGTTTTAGAACCGTAAATGATTTTTTATTTGTTTTCTTACCATATTTAACTTGAATGGGACCCATTTTTATGTAATCACGATAAGGTATATCTACTTTACAGATCATTTTTCTGTCCGACGTACCCTCAGACCCTTCATCAGTTTCAGAGATATCATTGTTATCTGATTTTTCACCAATCTCCAAGGAATCATAAACTAAAGGTTTAGAAACGATATTTCTTAGGATTGTCTGCCATGAATGACGATCCTGGTAGACACTGATGAATAAATGTTTTGGTGTCAATTTTCCATCTAGTTTGTCACTAATTGTGTTCCACAATTCGTGTGAATACGGAATAAGCTTGCCGTTTGAAGAAAAAAGATCATTTACAACTAATTTAAGTTCTTCCAAAACAATATCTCCACTCACTAATGGTTTCCTTCCAGGTTTAGCCTACAAAAAATATATTATTTCATTTAACACAATTTTCCTATTGATTTTATTAATATAATGAAGTGGCAGGTTAATCGTGACCATTGTTCTCAAAATATATTAGACCGATTCAATTTTTTTTTTCAATACATTCTTTTCGTCGAGAGATGATTATTAATATAACTATAAAAAGGTGGGCAAGTGGATGTCGCTCTGTTGTACAGTAGGTTACAAGTGGGTCACTGTAATGGATGGTATTCAATTTGAATTTAATGACATATAATATCATTGTATACGAAAAACGATTGTGAGTGAAGACTATAATATCTTACTAAGTATATAATATGATGATGTTTTTGTGAACAAAGTAATTCATTTTAGTATTAGGCATTATAGTATTTACTATAGTAGGTTAAATTCATTTTTTTTTTTAAATTAAATTTTATAATTTTTTAACGACAATGATTTATAGTTTTCGAGATTTTGATAAATTTTGAAAAAATTCAAACTTAAAATGTTTATAAAAAATTGTTACATTGTGCATATGTATTTTCAATATTTTTCAACTACTATTGTAACAATATATCGGGAGCTTTGTATTAAATTTTCACGCTTTTTGGACCAATAAATAAAATCTTATTGATATTTATAGAAAAAAAACTAAAAAAATTGAAATTTGAATTTGTCTGTAAAAAGCTCAAAACGAATCAAAATATTTTCAAAATTGTATGGTAAAATTGTTCCGTAAAATAAAATTTAATTGATATTTTTAGAAAAAAAACTAAAAAAAAAATGGAAAATGAAAATGTGCCTAACAGTTCAAAATAAATCAAAACATTTTGAAAATGTTATCGTGTATAGAAAATGCTAATATAAACAACCAGTGAAAATTTCAAGTGTCTACGGTCATTTCTTTTAAAGTTACACCAAAAACAAAATTCAATTTTGTGAAAAATCGATTTTGCGTAAAAATTCCCGTTTTTCCTTAATTTTTCTTTTGTTTGCACGCCGTTTTTTAAAACTACCGAGAAATGTTCACTTTTAACCCCCCCCAAAGTACCAATTAGATTCACTTTCCTATCAGGAAAGCTACTGTTGAAGAAAATCCAAACACTTTTACTGTCGTAAAACGTGATGACAGACACAAAAAAAAAATAAAAAAAAACACACACATCATTGTAGATTAAATACATTCATTGTTTCACTCAGAATCTAAAAGAAAAAGATAAATACTTAATGTTAAAAAATAGTAAATTTGTATCTGCTTAACATATTATTCTGTCTCAGAACACACCTGCATGTTTAATTGTAAAACAGTTCCTTTTTTTCAGAATTTACTATTGTACCTTTATCATCTTTTAAAATTAGTGTGTAGGGGAGTGGAGTTGGGTAAAATGGGGTAGTCGGGTAAAACAGGGTATTGGTGTTATTGGTCACACTGTAATCGATTGGTGATAATCAAATCGTAATTCATCAATATAAAGCTTATCAATACATGTGATGTTTAAATATTTGTTATTAATCAAATATTTTTCGGTTTTCTCATGTAGTTTGAAAATTATTTTACTCTTAGGGAATCACATTTTCGGACATTTTGAACAGGTAATTATTGTTATTTATTTAGTACTTTATCACCTTTGTTTTTAAATAAATTCCAAGTATAAGAGTTAAATCAACATTTAAAAAAAAAATTATATTGTTTGACTTTATAGTTTGGGTTTAAATTTGGTAAACAAGAGATGGTTAAAATGGGGTATCCCATTTTAGCCAGAGTTACATTATCCCATAAACTTAAAAACTTGAAATTTTTTTATTTTTATTTATTTTTATACTAATGTGTTTTGTAAAGTTGTCTTTAAAATGTTGAATATTAATCATTTTATTAACAACTTAAATTATTTATATTCTTATAGTATCTATGTACAATAAAATAATATCCGTTCAATATTTATTTAGAAGTTAACATTTCTTACTATTTTTTAATACAGACAGTGCTAATACATTAATTATTATTTCCTACAACTTATTTTAGTCATTAACTACAATGGGGAAATACATCAGAAAAACAAATCGCCAAAGTAGGTCTGAAGAAGCAATGAAACTTGCGAAAATGTCCGTCATAGACAAAGTTATGGGGTATAAAAAAGCATCTTTAGCTTATGGTGTGCCTCAAACAAATCTTGAAAATAGAGTGAAAAGTATAAAAAAAAAATGATTTTAAAATTGGAAAAATGATTGAAAAAAGTAAATTGCTGGAATTATAAACAAAACACCCTATATAATGTAGTGTATAAGTTATATATTCACACTGTAGTTCAGCAGACGCTGACTATGCATTTTTATAATACTACAGCATATATGTCTTATTATTATTATTATTATATTATATATATCCGATCTTATTATTATTTACCTTTAACTTCTGTATATCTGTGTACTCCAACAATAATATTCAACTCTATATGATAATTATTAAAAACATCAGGAATAGTGTGTTATACGACGACGCGACCGTGGAATCCGCTGACACAAGGATTGTATTGTGACACGGAGCGCCGCCGTCTAACCCATTACGGAAGGCTAGGAGGTCAATTCTCGAAATCATTCTACATGATACGTCGATCAAGTAGTAAACGACAATAGTAGAATGATATTGGCGTATACGCCGAATCACATCTATTGCTACTTATTCTTGAACACTAAACGCCAAATACATTGTCGAACGCTACATTTTGTAGAGTGGTGAAGTCAAGTCGTATAAACCACGATTGTAGTATATGATTTATCAGTAGTTATTTTCAAGATAAGAACTCAATACTTGATAGTGTGAAATGTTTAATGGTTTTACTCTATAATAGTCTATAGGCTGTTGTATACTTTTATGTCGCTTACTTTATGTTCATATCTTATAATATTGTTAGAACTCGGGGTTTGAAATATTGAATATTTTTTATTTTATTAATATTTGTATATCTTTACGCAATGTCGAAAGACTCCACTGAAATTTCAGGCCGAGCAACCATCAACCAAAAGATTGCTTTGAACGGCTTCTGAAAGGTCGATCAACAACTACTAAGTGGTAAGTTTAGTAGTACGTTCACCTTTAAGATTGCTCAAAAACGATGGGAAATTATTGCCAAATCATTAAATGCCATGCCCGGGGCTGTTAAAAGTTGGAACAAATGGCGTAAAGTCAATGCTTATTTTAAAATGTAGTTGGTGTTTAATTTCATCAGAGTGTAATTCTGTAGTTTGAAGCGAATCCTTAAAAAAAAATTTGAATGAGTCACTATTATGTTATAAACACAATTACACAAAACATCTCAACGCATATTTTTATATTTCAAAAGTTTATTATTAATTTTTTTTTTTTTTACAATGAAAAAAGTTAACACTTTACACTTACCGATTCTGTCACTTGCTTTAGCCTAGCCGCAGCTATAAATGGATTTTCTGGGGCTCCAACATGCTTCACTAAAACTCTTTTACCCTCATGTTGTTTAGTTTCATGTTTTTTTTTCTATAATCATCATCAAATATACTTCCACATGCCAAACATTCTAATTTCGTTCGTTTTCTTTTTTCGTATTTGTGCAATTCATAACGAGCAAATTAATGAAACACAAACGAATAAATAAACTGTGTTAAGTTAACTCGGTATAACACTCTCACAGTCGTCACAGAAGTACAGAATAGCAATAGGCAATTGTCGACAATCTTTATTATTTACTATCAATTATAATATATTGTAGCAGTGAAGTACGATCGTCGATCACAACAATAATCATTAAATCAAATCAAATATCTAAGACTAAGATAACGACGTATATTCCGATTACGGCTATAAATACATTCATTGCCCTTAGATTCGGGAATTTTGAAGCCGTCCACAAAAAATGTTTTTCTAATACCAACTAGCGGCTAGCTCAATCTAGTTCTATAGTTAAAATGTTTTCCCACTATTTAATTTTATTTAGGGTATGGCCATATATGCCGACTATATAAATGGGTTATTCGTTGGTGGGGGGGGTATTCCACCCTCCTAACACCGGGCCTGCACAAATTATGATGTAGTCCTGTAGCGTCGAATATTGTGTAAAACTTTTTGCAATGGCAGAAAGCAATGCCATTGATTGATCACATACAGCTTCTTTGGGTCTTGGAACATCACAATTGATCCAACGGGATAACCAATTATAAAGGGCCAAACTGTTATGCCGCTCACTCAACATATTGGTAACTGTAAAACTACATTTATTTTGTGAATCATAGACCAATCCTTCATACAGAAAGATTGAGCTTGTTTTTTGCTTGCTCAACTTTAAGAACTTCTTCACAACCGAACCTGTATCATCAATGATCAGTCTGGGTCTTGATCCTTTACAGTAGTTCCTATAGATTTGGATTTGATCAGCACAATGGTAATGTAAGTAAAAAGGATCACATCCAATATCATGAATTATGTTCTTAAAGTCATCTTCTTGTTTCATTAAAGCTAATGACGTTAAGGTATCTGCCTGCCTGCTGTCACTCGTGATTTTAAAATGCGTAATGAATTACCAGATGGAATAATGGACGGATCAGGTTCACCTAAAAAATTACAGAAAATGAGTGATATGATACACATGTCACATGATACATTTAAGTATTTTCATGAGGTAATATGTGTTGATTTTTTAATGAAATTATACTAGGGTAGAAGTTTGAAAGTTGCCAATTCAATAAATGGGAATTGACATACCTGTTTTTATCAGACGTACTGCTTCTCTTTCTCGATACGTTTCACTTGATAGTCCATCGACACAAATCGATGATATTGCTTTTTCCATTGCTGGTCCTATCATACGACGTTTTTTTGTTGTTTTGTGTGTCTCTTGAAAATTACTTCTGAATGTACAATGCATAAGAACTCTATAACAAATTTAAATTATTAAGTATGAAATTACTAAATATTTTTAAATAAATAATCAAATATTTTAATTTGAATATTGAAGTACCTACTTAGATATTTTTAACAAATACTTATGCAAATTGGTAGATTATACAATTTAAATGTAAAAAATTACTGATGTAATATATACTAATCATTTTCAGTAATCATTTTCAGCTTACAAAGAAAATGTGCACCTATGTACTTAATATTATTAATGGAAACAAAATATAAATTATTATCTATTTGAAAAATTTAATTTGAGGAATATATTTTTAAAAAATTCATACTCTTTGATAATTACATATTAGGCAATTTACTTCTATTGAAACATTAAGTTATTACAATAATATACTTACTTATAGCACCACCAGGGGGTTTATCAAAAACTGTCCCATTAAATCTGGAGTCGCAAACTGTTGCCGCCGCAACATAAAGGCATTATGCAATATAGTACCTACCCAATTAAAAATAAGAATATAGGACATCGGTCATCGGGGAACAGCTGGACACACACACACACACACACACACACACACACACACACTCACATATCACTATTTGTATTGTTTTATTATTATTATCGTTGAATCGTGTCTTGTGAATTATGTAATACGTAGATAAAGCCAAATAATATTTTAACACGGCCGCCGTTT